TCATTGGTACACAATCCCCCTGCACGCCCCTTCCCCCACCCCAAGTATACTCCACTCTGCTACCTTCATTCCGGACTCTTATGATAATCACAGTGCCCTAAAATATATTGCTTTTAAACTGTTCTCTCCCTCATCAGTTTCAATGCAGTATACATAATTCACCCAGTTTTTCTCATTTTTATCCTAACCCCGATGTCAGTCCCATTCTACAGCAGTGGCACTATGCACTATTTGTCTCTGTGTGACCGAGATATTTCACTCAGCATCATGTCCTCCACGGTCACCCATTTTGAATAATACTGCATGAGTTCCTTGTTTTTCAATGCAGCATAGTATTCCTTGTGTGAATATGCCACAGCTTCTCTATCCATTCGTTTGTTGATGGGCACTTAGGTTGTTTCCAACTCCTTGCTATTGTGAACAAAGCTGCAGTAAATATGGGTGTGCATATATCTGCTTGGATGTCAATTATGATCTCTTTAGGGTATATTCCCAGTAGTGGAATTGCTGGGTCAAATGGTATCTCTATTGGCAACTTTTTGAGAAAGCGCACACTGCTTTCCACAGTAGTTGCGCCATTTACACTTCCACCAAAAGTGCGTAAGGGTCCCAAGGACATGCTTCTTTATGCAGGTTTTTTTCTATCTTCTTTATTAGAAGCTTGCAAGCCTTTTATATAATGGTCTTGTGGAATCTAAAATGTTCTGCTTTCATAGATTTTGCTGTTGTCAGTAATATATATTTTTATGGGCTCGAGTACATCAGGGTTCAGTTCCATTGTGCATAGGGTAACTATGAGTTGTAGTCAGTTCAACAGCACCTAACAACAACAGTTGATTACTGTTGCTAAGAGAAATGCTGTTTTCACAAATGGCAACAACCCCAATTTATATGTACTCATTTTAAGGAATTATCTGTTGATTCTAATGGTTCTTCTAGGCTTGTGATACCATCTACAAACAATGATTGTTTTTATCTCCTTACCCTCCTCCGCAGTTCTATTACTTTTGTCTTTAAAACACAGACTAAGGTACTTGGCACTGTGTTAAAATGCAGTGATGGTGGGAGGCATCTTTGTCTTTTCCAAAATCTAAAGAGAGTGCCCCCATATGGTTTTGATACAATGCTATTATCAAGCTTTGTTGTTGTTATGTACCATCACTCTGGAACTGACTCAAAGCCGACCCTCTAGCGAGTTTTCAGAGTCACACAGGAGGAGACTGCCATCTTTCTTCCACAGAGCAGCTGGTGGATTCAAACCACAAGCTGCAGGGTTAGCAGCACAGGTCCTTACCACTAGGGCACCAGAGTTCCCTATGATCGAGTAATAGAAGCAGCATTATATCCCTTGCCCAGTCTATGAGACTTACACATGCACTAAAAAACAATGTTGTGGAATTGTGAGAGAAAGAAGCAAAAAAATTACATTAAAAATATATATGAGTTTAAAATATTCTTATTTCCAGGGCAATTTCAAGTTATGATTGCAGTAATGACAAGTTGCCAACTTTGGCAAAATGAGAGTATGCCAGACTTATCCCAGTGTTTGGATGGTCCTGGAAACATGAGCTCTTGGAAGCTCTAATCCTGACGGCTGCCTTAAGTGGGCACAGAAGGACGAACTTCAGTCTTGAGAACATGTCATCTGTTCCAAAGATCCCCATCGCCTCCCCCCAACCACACAGAGGCCTTTCTCCCCAGCAGTCACCCACCTGTTTTCCTCTAAAATAGCACTGACACACTGTAAAATCAGTGTCTCTTCGTTCTTCAAAATAATATGTATCTAACTAACTTTGTTTATAAGAGCCGATAAGCAAGGGGCTAGTAAGAATCTATGTTAACAACTGTGTCTGAAAAACATTATTGTATAAAACAGTAATCATACACTATCAGGCCATCTTCTAACACCATTAATTACATACTCACACATCTTCTATTAGAAAACTCTCAAGATAAACCAGTGCCCAGTGCATATGAAAGAGACTGAGTTAATACAAATATGAAATATTTACAATACGGCAATATTTAATGATTTAATGACACTAATGAGCCAAATGAGACGATGCTGAAAGAAGCGATTAATCTTTCAACCCTTGAGTTTATACTAAAATGTAATATGTAAAGAGAACTGAACTTAAAAAAAAGACATCAGTAAGTCACACAGTAAACTTTTGAGACTATTAATCAGTAAATTGATTAAAGAAGGCATTCTAGAGAAAAGAAATCTATCATTATATATGTAAAAAATTTTTTTTGTTGTTAATGAAACCAAACAGAGAAAAAGAAAATATTTCAATTGTAGGACATTCCCCCTACAAGACCTGTTTATTACCCAGGGCATATTCCCTCTGAAAATAGAAACTTCTTTTAATGTACACTTTTTTCAGGTCATGTGAAAGTAATATGCCTGTCTTTGGACTATATATTCCAGGGAATTTTTGGCTTTAGGGACCTTTGTATTTGCTTTTTCCTCTTCTTAGAACATTCTTATCCCCTGGGACTTATCTGCTGGGTGATCCTTTTCCAAAACCTAATTCCTCTGGAAGTTGCTATCTTCTTAACAATTTCATTCTTCCTCTCCAGTGAGGAAGTCAATGCGTCATCCTTCAGTACTGTACATCTGACTGTCTAGTTTATGGAGTACATATTTTTATAAATGCATTAAAAATATATACAATAAACCATGTACCAGTTCAATTTCTACATGAATGATTTAGTGATACTGATTACATTCTTTAAATTGTTCAACCATTCTATCATTTTTCCAAATTATTTCATTAACATAATGAAGTATCTTCTTCTCCTTCCCTCCTACATCATAATTTTTCTTCTAAAAACTGAACCTAGATCTCTACTAAGTTTATGCAATATTTGTGCTGCTTATTGACCACTGCTATCTTTAAATTAATATAATTTTGGGTCTATTTTTCCCATTAGTTCTAGGAAATGCTCAACCATTTATCTCTTGGACTACTTTGCCTTTCCCCATTCTATTATTTTTCTTCTGCAACTCTGGACAGAGCATCTTGCATTATCCTTCATGCCTCTTCTGTTTCTGCCATTCCTAATTTTTTCTGCTGTCGGTCACTTTCTCATTGCTGTGAAGTCAGAACTGATTCACAGCTGACCCTCCAGGGGGTTTTCAGAGACTGTAAACTGTATGGAAAGAAACTTCATC